ATGCTAACATTCACTTGTTTACCTTAAACAACTCGTAGTCAACTAAAATACCAAATTAAGAAAACTGAATCCACCAGTAATCTTATAAATATTGTTCGGTTCTTTTATTTTGATTGATGGAGGAGCTTTTTCTTTGCCCAGCCAATCATATAACTAATGAAAGAATTTTCAACCTGTTTCCCCATTTTTAGTTTACTAGATTTATCAAATAAGAATGTCCACCCTTATTTTACTATGGAGATGTTTAATGAAATTGTTTTGGCCACAAATCACTGTAAACACTGACTCTGGATTGTGCTTATTGTTCTTCAGACCTTTGACCGTGATATGAGTTTTCTCTATTTTTTAAATCATGGCATTATTTGAAACTAGCTTCCCTTTATATTAATAGGAAATATGTAAATATTTTGTGAAAGATTAAATGTAGAAATATTTATTAATAATTGTAAGAAAGCAGTGAGCCATGTGCATTTCTATGTAGACTAAGTGGAACGGAAAGGAATTAAGGAATTAAACACCCTGTTTTAGGCCCAAATAATCTTCTGTGTGGACAGTTTTAATAGCTGCTAGCTGTCTTCCTGCCTGTCGTTCCCTTTCACTTCATCCTGTTATATTTCCCTGGGGGGCTGATCTTTATGAGAAACTGTATTGGTCTTCTGTCCAACAATGAGCCCAGTATTCCCCACTGTCAGAAAATAAAGTAGTAAACATATAAAAATAAAACAATAAAAACTTTGTAAGTTCCCAAACCTCTAAATTGGCTGCATCTGACCTCTCTGACTTGATTTTCCTACATAAATCGCCTAGACCAACCTCATGATTCACCATCACCTCTAAAGGCCTTAAGCTTTCTTTGAGAAGTATTTTGTTTATTCACTTATTTGTACATACAGAGATGCTTTTGTCCTCATCCATATTGAAACACGAACTCCTATGTCCATTAAACTCTCCCGGATCGACCTGAAGAGGGAATTCAGGGTCCCTCCTTGTCACTGTTGCCCATACAACTCATTCAGATCTGTTGTGTAATGTGTGGTAATATTTCTTCAATATTGTCTTGATTTATACTATTGTTTAACTTTTCACAAATTTGTCTCACTTCTTAAATTCCCCGAGACTAGATACTGGTTGTTACTCCATGTTACACACAGAACTTTATAAATTATGGATATGTAGTCAGTATTTGTTTATTTGACATAGTTTGTAAGGCCAAGTTTTCATAGCTAAAGATTTGTGCTTCTCTCCAAGTCTTTTCCCTAAAATTTGCTAAGTTTTCTCTATTGTTACCCTGTGTATTTTCTACTCCCATTGGGAACCTCCTCTGTACAATGTACTTTCATAATGATGCATTTTTATTCACTTACATTGTGTTTTGAGCCCAGGTCTGTGCCTCCTACTTTGTCCCTCCTGTTATACTTTGTGAGAGTAGAACCTAGATTAGCTATGTTGTAAATCTCAGAAAATGGTCAATTGAAGTTTCAGCTAAAGGGCTAAGATGTTGTTGCTGTCAGGTACCAAAACAAGTTATAAGAGAGAGAATAATGCAGAATGTCACAATAAATGCAGACAAAGGACCTTTTGAAAGAAGTATCTTTATCTGAAACATATGTGAAGATCTTTGAAAGGCAATTTGAAGCACTGGGGTTATAAAGAAATCTCTTTGGAGAGAGGTGGCCACAAGCACAGTGTCAGTGCCATCTAAACTTGGGAGGAGGAAGAAACCCTAATTTAGAGTAGACTCTCCACTTCCTTGAAGAATCTAAAGATGAAGATTGTGGCTCATTCTAAGGCAGCAGGAAAGAAAGAGAGAGAAATTGCTGCTATACTATGCTGGAAAGCCAATAAGACCTCCAAATACAGGTCAAAAGAATGAGAGTCCAGAAGTCCAGACCGGAAACTCATGACAAAAGGAATATCAGTCAGTGGTCCAAATAAAAGGGAAATTTTCCAGCAGGTCCCCATCAGAAGACGAGGGAATGCTGACAGAGAGCTGGTGAAGAAAGCATCAATGTCAGTAAGTCAGTGGCCATGGGATGAGCGGGGAGGGAACGTGAGAGGGCCCACTGTGCCTCGCAGGTCCCTGGAGGAAGCCTCAGCTGGAGGCTCCAAGAAACTTAGAAAAATCAACTTTAAAACCTTCTAGGCTCAGAGGCGTTGGCACGTCATAAGTTGGGCCAAGCCTTTCTGAACCCCTCTTTTCTCTTCACAAATTGGATCCCCAACACTTACAGCTCGGGAGGTGAGACCTGCGGAGGGGCAGAAAATGAGGGAAGAAGCCTTCCAGGTCTTCCCTCAATGCAGCTTAAAGTTAGCCTAGCAGACAAAGGAAGGGATTATTTCATTTACATTTCACTGAGACTGTTTTTTAGTAACTGTCCATTTAATTATTATGAATTTTAAAAACTTCACCATGAATCTATTATCCAACAATAGTTATAAAATTCACAGTCTTATGGAGAATTTATCCAGAAGGAAAAAAATCTTCACTCCATTAAACATGTTAACAATAGAATGAGAGAGAGAAAAAAAACTTCGTATCTTATTTTTATTATACCTATAAGTCAAATATTCCTCTTAATTAAATACTTACTGATTATTTTTGTTTTTAAAATTCTGAAAAATTAAAGTAAAATGTCTTATAAAATTTAAATTCCACTTGCATTTCAGTTAAACACTCCTTTAAAATTAAGCTTTAGCTATAATTTTATGTCTGTTCTAAGGATGATTAAGTAACACATCAGTTCGTTTCAGTTCTATCATTTCTATTCATCAAATGTTTTACAATATGTACCCTTAGCACTATTCAGGCACTACGCTCCACATTAAAAAGGATTATAGAACCTTCCTTGTTTCCACAGAGCTACCATGTTTTTGAATTAATAAAGGTTGTACAAAAGTAATGTAAGTATTGGACAATATCAATACAATAGGATCCAATCAAGTGCCTAAATATATGCCACATAAATGGCAATGTACAGTCAATGATTAACATTGTTTAAATGGATCTGAAAGTACATACAGTAAGAGCACTTTGGGCTTTAGATCATACTAAATACATTATAAAATATTTATTATGTTAGGGAGATCATCATTAATTCAAAAAATTAATTACCATATGCCAAATTTGAGCAGGCACTAAGTAAGCACCAAATATATTGACTCATAAAACAGGTATTTTCTCTTCTCTCGAGGAACTCTCAAATCTAATGAGATTCTAGACTATTATGTTGTACGTATATATCTCTTGGTATATAAAATGCAATTTATGGACTACTTATGTCTGCACTTTCTAGAGTGCCTCTTTCAACGACCAGAGAACTATTCACATTTTTTCATTACAGGATAATTGTTTTGGTTATTACTTTTAGTTGTGGCCAATAGTTATAATTTATTAAAACACTAATGTTATGAGAATAGTACAATATTTACTTCATTTAATCTTTTTAAAAGGCCTGTGATATAAATACTATCATTAACCCCATTTTGTAGAAGAGGAAATTGAGAAGCAGAAAGTCAAAAAACCTGCTCAAGATCACTTAGCCTTCCTGGAGTTCTGATCTAACATTGTCAGTACAGGAAACTTGCTATGGTTTAGATCTAAAATGTGCCCCTCAACCCCATGTGTTCAGAGGTTGGGCTTTTGGAAAGTTATTGGATCATGAAGGCTCTAACTTCATCATTATAACGCATCAATAAGTGAGATCGTAATTTCAGGGCATAATTAGGAGGTGATGGAATCAGAAAGTAGAGCTGAAAATGAAAGGAATATATTATTATATATCTTGATCTTGGGGACTATATTTGGTACCTTTCCCTTCCTTTCTAGATCTTTCCCTTTATCTTTATTTCCTGGTTCTCATGAGATGAACAGCTAAAAGCAATAAAGTTAGCACCATGCACTGAAACCTTGGAAACCATGAGCCAAAATAACAACTTCTTCTGAGTTGTTATCCCTCAGTATTCCAACACAACAAGAGGAAGCTAACATAAGACTTTTGGCTAAATTTTTAAAAACACATGTATAGGCATAGAGTTCAGCATAAAATATGACACACAAACCAGTAAAACAATACACAAGAATGCACTAAGTTATCAATTAAAAGAACAATATCACATTGGAGTTTTAAAATCTACTTTGGTTAGAGTGAGATTGTAGAATTACTTTGCAATTTAGACTTTGAATATTCTAAGCTTGAGTTTCTTCTGTGAAGAAGAACTCAGAATATTGGCTTGGAAACCAGATAACTAGGGTGAGTACAAAGATAAAATTGTGGATGAAGATATTGGAGAAATCAAAAAAGTACTCCGCATATGTCGATTTTTTCACTATTTTTCATTTAAATTTACTATCTCTCTTAAAGTTTTATATTTTTGCCTGCTATTATATGAAACAAATTGTAATAATTTTCTTCTAGAAATCTTCCTTTGACTTGGAATTAGGAAAAATTTTAAAGTATGAAGTTAAAAATACAAGCAGAAATTTGTTATGAGTTATGTATCTGATTTTTTACTGAAACTGTTTGAAAAGGAGTGCATTGGGACCCTCCATTCACTGTAGAATCCCTGTATGGTGAGAAATGTTGAGACTTATAGCTGTCAAATTTTGGTTTTAGGAGTCATGGAGAGGTACAAGACAAAAAGCAAAAGCACTATTTTAAAATAGGACAGAGTGAAATAGGATAAAGAATAACCAAGAAGAGTCTGTAATTATGTAGTCACTGCTAGGAGCAAAATTTTTCCTTTTTTCCATTTTTATGACAATGAATATAACACGTATGCTTGGAAATGGTAGATGGAACACCTGCTGTAATTGATTATTTCTAAAGGATGAATGTCAAGTCTGCTGTGACTGCCCTCCCTTTTACCACACATATAAAGTATATAATTGATTTTAGTTTTCTTCAAGAAATGTACTCCATTACAGTCCTACACTTGAGCTAGCTCTGTTCTATTTATGATATGAATACACATAATTTTCACTTATTTTTGTTACTTAAAAGGAATCCACTGTGAAGAAGACATCAATGAATGTTTATCACACCCCTGCAAAAATGGTGGCACTTGCGAGAATTTACCGGGAAATTATAGTTGCCATTGTCCATTTGACAACCTTTCGAGAACATTTTATGGAGGACAAGACTGTTCTGATATTCTCCTGGGCTGCACACATCGCCAATGCCTAAATAATGGAATTTGCATACCTCACTTCCACAATGGCCATCATGGATTCAGTTGCCTATGTCCATCTGGTTTTACTGGGTCACTATGCGAAGCTGTCACCACACTTTCATTTGGGGGCAATAGCTTCCTGTGGGTCACAAGTGGCTCACATACAACCAAGAGCTCAGTCTGTAACATCATCTTCAGGTTTCAGACTGTTCAACCCATGGCACTTCTATTTATCTGGGGCAGCAGAGACATGTTTGCAAAGCTGGAGTTGCTACATGGCTACATTCACTTATCAGTTCGAGTTCACAATCAGTTGCGAGTGCTTCTGTATATTTCCCACAACACCAGCGATGGACTGTGGCACTTGGTGGAGGTGATATTTTCAGAGACTGTGACCCTTTCCCTCACTGACGACTCCTGTAAGGAGAAATGTGTCACTGACGCTCCTTCTCCATTTGAAATTAATCAATCAATATGTGCTTTCCGGGACTCTTTTTTGGGTGGTTTACCAGTGGAAATGACCAGAGATGGCATTGCACTGCTTGACATCTATAATACAGCATCCACACCTTCATTTGTGGGCTGTCTCCAAGACATTAAATTTGATTCAAATCCTATTACCCTGGAGAACATTTCATCTGGCTTGTCATTAAATATCAAAGCAGGCTGCATGCGAAAGGACTGGTGTAAAAGTCAACCTTGTCAAAATAGAGGACGTTGCATCAACTTATGGCTTGGCTACCAGTGTGACTGCTATAGGCCTTATGCAGGCCCCAACTGTGTGAGAGGTGAGAGGATGCTGGGCATTCTGGAGGGCTGTGCCTCTGGGCAGATCAACATAAGTAGCCAGTCTGCTACTTCCTGTTATGAAACGTAATGTCCCTTTGCCACTTATGCTGCTGTTTGTCCAACAATGAGAAAAGATAATATTGAGATAATGTGTATTAATTTTGAGTGACGTCATAGGACATTCGTGTTCCACTCAGACACAGAAATAAAAAATTAAGCAAATAGCTCTATCCAAATTAGTATTCATCTTGGTGTTAAAATGCTCTTAGAAATTTTTTACCAAGAGTTAAATATCAGAGATTTATTGTAAATCTTATTTAAAAGAGAATCTTTTGGACAAAAAGGCTTTTATAGACTAAACTAGTCAATGACGCACAATAGCAGAGTATTTTGTGCTTTGTAGATTCTCAGTAAACAATCACTTCCTTGCTTTCCTTTTTATGCAATTAACCCTCACTCCAAAATCATGCTTCCCATTTATACATTTACAAACCACCGATTTTATTCAAAGTCATCACCTTTAAGATTACCTTGGGAAAACAGATAGGTGTCTCAAGAAAAAAAAACATGAAAAGTAACCCCAGTGAAACCCGGTAAATGCTATAAATGAATTGATCTGATTTCTCTAACAAAATAAGTCTTTTATTTTGAACATCACCCCACCGATAGTTGCTGATAGTGATAATATATACCTGTATTATTGTTATTGTCATAATCATCCATGTGCATTGAGAAAACCTGAGAGGTTATTGTAATAGACTGCTTTGAAGTTCAGCACTAATTTACTCCAAGATTTCAGAGTAACTTGAAGTAGGACAACATCTGGTAAATAGTCTTCCCTGCTTTATATAAAGTAAAATTAAAACCAGTCTTAGCCCATACCCTACTCCATGTTCAAATGGCTAAGAATTATTAGAAGCTATTCACGAGTTTCTCCCTGACCACAATATTCATTACAAATCATGGACCTGCTTGACAATGAGGTATGACATCCACTAGCTCTATGCAATATTTTAAATGGAATGGCAAGTTGTTTTGTGATTTTTTTAAGGCAAAAAGGGGAAATTATGCTGAGGCAATGGTTCGCTTTTTGAAGAAAAATTTAATTGACCCAAGGCAATATTTTTACTACATATACAAAATAACAAACAGATGCTGACTCATTTTGACTGGCTTCCAGAGGCAGTGACCCATGAGGTTAATGCTGACCATGGTGATGCTAACTGTCCTAGTAAATATGTCCAAGAGATGCCAACCCAGTGTGTTCTGGTTTTCTTTAGTTTATTTTTCCCAACTTGGAAAATTATGAACTTTTTAAACCAAGTTCTTGAATTGGTTACACTTCCTTACTGCCCCCGGTATCCCTACATAGTTTGAAACTATTTAACCCCCATGAGAATGTTTGGCTTTAAGAAATTATAGGGAAAGAGCTTTGTCAAATCTTTCCTTTCTGAAAATTATTCGGGTAAGTTTTAAAAGAAACTATTTTTCATATCACCTCTTGGTCATGTAACTAAAATATTCTGTATTGGCTCTTATCTGTGAAGAATGTTTTCCAGGAGTCCATTCCCACTATAAAACATGTTTCAGTGCAGTAATGAGAACTTGGAGTCTGCTATTGAGGGGCATGTATATGCAAGAGGGAGAAAACACACTAAGAAAAAGAAGGCAAATTTTACTCAGATTATGGTTTTGGCACAATGTTTCCCAATCACAGTACATACTGAAAGGAACAAGTAGAATAGAATAGATGATTTACTTAGCTAACTAAACTCAAAAGACACAGGGATTTCCAGTATAAGCTGAAGTTGCTAAAATGATCTAAACTCTCAAGTAGGATAGTTCTGAGAAGGGTTTCCCTGAGCATTACTCACAGAACTGTCTATGTGTTTATCTCAGCGTGGCTTGTTTTGATTGCATAAAAAACATAAAGCTTCTGAGATATTATTTAGATTTGTAACTTCTTCTTTTACTATAGGAAAATATTCAAGTTATAAAAGCAACCTATGTAGATTTTATCTTCTGTTTTACACCTAGACTTTGGGAATTTTATCATTTTAGAATTATAAATTCACATATATAGAAGAGGTATTATTCTATGGCTGGGTTTTTTAGACTACTGGGCCTGCCTCGTGTAATGACCCAAACCTCTTGTTTAAACATCTTCATTCAATCTAACTTGGAAAAAATTTCCAATCAGGTCTTCTGTTATATTTAAATGAAGTATGATTTGCACAAATCTCTCACTCCTTACATTTTAATTCTGAAAGATGTTCATATAAGCCTTAACATCTCTTTTGAGAATATTTATGTATTCCAAAAAAATCTTGCTCTGTCCAAGTCATCACCTCTACCACACTGCACATCGCAGCTTCTTCCGCTGTTTCACATGACAGCCTTCAGACCCTCCCATCCTGCTTGCTGACTTTAGAATACATTGGCTTCTCTGTCTTCGTTCTAAAATATGTCGCCTAGGTGTACTTCCTGCTCAACAGTGACATGCAATCATCACTTCTGTACACTGTGCTTCTGTTTTTTGTTTTGGTTTGTTGTTTTTTTTTGGTGCTGGGAATTGTACCCAGGACCTCAGGCTTACCAGGCAGGTCCTGAGCCACTGAGCTAATCCCAAGCTCTGTGCTTCTGTTTTGCAGCTTAACATTACAGTGAATTTTCTGGCAGTTGTATTACATGGTTCCTTCAGTCTGAGTTGTTGTCATTCATGATGTCATAGAGTTTTGCCCTACACCCATGAGGCACATGTAGATCTTACTGCCTTTTATTTATTCTACTAAATTTCATCTATATCAAAATCATTTTCCCTTTTTATGTTACTCATCTTCAGGACATATCAGTGATATGTATGAGATTCTTTCCATGTCCACAGTAGAGTTATCGGTAGCTTTGGGTATTTCTAAAATTATGTAGTACATCACACATTCTGACTACCTGCTTGTGATTTCTGGAGAATAGGATTACTGGCGAGTCTGGCTTCTAAGGAAAAGAGAAAACGGCTCTGTGTTCTGTCTTTTAATCTGGATCCACAAAGTAGTGCTACAGGCATCGTATGATGACCAGCAGGGCGTCCACTCCCTGAGGTTGAATGACTCTGTGCGTATCCTCACACCCCAAGAGGTTCAAGAGCCGAGTTTTCTTATTAAGCATTTTATCTCACATGAAAGTACTGCAGTAATTCAGAGATGTTAACCTCTTCAAAGGGGTTATTTTATCTAGCAGTAGACTTTGAAAGCTACCTGTAGTTGCCTGGAGCAGGTGGTCTCTAAAAGTAGATTCAAAATGCAATGCTCCTGTAGGAAATCAAGTTAGAGTTCTAAAAAAATGTATCTGCTTACCCAGGAGGTCTTCAAACATAGACTTTTCGTAAGTAAATTTCACTATAGTTCAGGTAAACCAAAATATCTCTTATCTTTGTCTACACTTCAACTGGACCATATGATGGCAGTTAAGCATACAAGAATATGCTTTTTTATTTCTGGTTATGACTGAGATGTGAAGACCTAAAGGCAACAATATCTTTAAGACATGTGTTTGTCAAGTTCATCGATGATCCTTACATTGCAAAATTCGATGGTCGAATCTCTGCCCTCTCCTACTTGACATCTTAGTAACCGTCAGCACACTCCAACACTTCCATCTTCCTGAAAACTCTTTCCTGCTTGTGCTTATGGGCTACCACTGGCTCAGGGTTCTTCTCTACTGGCTGCTATTTGTGCCTTATATTACCAAAAATTCCTAAATTATTAACTCAGATTATCTCCCCAAATTTCTGTATCAACTACCTATCAGTCATCATCACATGAATATTGTATAAGGCATCTCAAATTAATACAAATTCCCATTCACCTCGAGTCTGTCCCTTTAGTTTTCTTTCCATCTCTACAAATAGAGACCTTTTCAAGGTTTCTGATTATTTGGGGCAAAATTCTTGAAAATGCACTTGTTCTAGAAATTCTATTCAAACTCTTTTTAAAATCTGGCCACATCTCACTACCTCTGCATTACTGAGTTAAGTCATAATTGTTTGTCCCTTGAATTACTGTAGTAATATCCCTACTTTCTTGGGGGTTTTGTTCAAATGTCATATTCTGAGAGAATTCTTCCCTGACTATTCCATTTAAAATTACAATTACACTTCTAACTCTTAATCTTCCTATTTGCTTTCTCTACCTAATTTATCTTATGTCAAGTAGTTTCTTACCTACTGACATACTATACAGTTTGCTTTGTTATATGTGTCTGATGTGTCTTTCTCTAGATGGGAGACAGTGTAAGCTTTATAAGGATGGGAATTCTTGCTCCCATTATATCACCAATTATTTTAAATGTCAAGTTTCATTTTTTTTTTCACATCTCAGGAGTACTGTTGAGATAATTCACTTGGATAATATTGCCATTTGTGTAGTCCTGACTCTTCTGACCACAGGAAATGCTGGATGAGTTTGGCACACTGCCTTTTCCCTGTTTCCCTTTCCACAAGTGCCTCATTCTTCCCAATCAGGACCATAAAAGCATCCCCTTCTTCTTTTGTTCAATGCCGAATCTTTTACTATGTGGGTTTCGTTTCAAAAGAGGATCTCCTAGCTTTATTTTTCACTTCTACCTTTTACTAAAAACAGTTCTGTTTAATGACAATGTCTGCCTCATGTATTCCAATGGCCTATACAACTACTTAAAAAACCTGTTCACAGATGTTGCATGAAGTGCTCTCATCCTAAAACTTCTTCCATCAAATTATATTATTAGATGTCTGGCATTTCACCATTTAAGCTCCAGTATTTTGTGACAGTGAAGGGGATGTTCCTTAGTTACCAGTGCAGAAATATTTTGTTTTGTGCTTAATGAACTTCAACCATAAAGTACAAACCAATATATAGCTATTTTTGAATAAAGTAAATTCAGAAGGTCAGAAAATGAAAATATTGAATCAGTCTATCCTGAACTTGGAAAGTACATATCAGTGTTTACATGTACAAAATGCTTGTGTTCTGTCTCTTTTTTTGACTCTTAAGATGTTTCTTCTTTATTTCTCTTCAATTTCAACACTGAAGAGTATGTGGCAGGCAGATTTGGCCTGGATGGCTCCGCTGCTTATGCTGTCTTTAAGGTTGATGAGAATTATGGACGGAACTTCAGCCTTTCCATGTTTGTGCGAACACATCGACCATCAGGCTTTCTTCTAGCATTGGAAAACAGCACTTATCACTACATTCGTGTCTGGTTAGAGCATGGCAGACTAGCACTGCTGACTCCAGGCTCTCCAAAATTACTAGCCAAATTTGTTCTAAGTGATGGAAATTTCCACTTAATATCTTTGAAAATCAAGTCAAATAGAATTGAACTTTTTCAGTCTTCACAAAAGTTAGGATTTATTTCTGCTCCTACATGGAAAATCCAGAAAGGAGATGTCATCTACATTGGTGGCCTGCCTGATAGGCAAGAGACTGAAATTAACAGTGGATTCTTCAAAGGCTGTATCCAAGATATAAGATTAAACAACCAAAATCTGGAATTCTTCCCAAACTCAACAAACAGTTCATCCCACCATCCAGTTCTTGTCAATGTGGTCCAAGGTTGTCCTGGAGACAATGTTTGCAAGGTAGGATTATTTGTATGATTGTGTACATGTTGCATGTTAAGTTTCTATTTCATGAAATATGTAATTTATTGAAACAATTCTTTGTAAATAATGTCACAAAGATGTTGTCACTGACCCACCAGCCAAAGAACAGGGTTTTATTGCTATATTCCCACAAAGACAGAGATTTATACTGAGGCATAAAGTGACAGCCTCGCTCTAGCATCCTGGTGTATTTGACAACTGAGATAACTCCAGGTACACGCTTCTCTGCCTCCACAACAAGCAAATTATTTAACAAGAATAGTGTCTTAATTCCTAAACTCTAATGGCATCCAGAGTTTTAACTGAACTCTTTTGGGAAGATCTCTTTCCTCTTAAGTGTCCAGTTTCTGTTGTTTTAAAATTTTACTGAGTCTAAAAGAAAAAAAACTAAGAGGTAATTTGAATTTGAAATCCTCTGGAATATAATTTTCAGAGCCCACACCCCAGTTTTTTTTACTTCTTTCATAGCCTCTTCAAAGAGGTGCTTTAAATACACAAAATTGTCAGCTCTGCAGGAGCTTTCAAAGGAAAACAATGGAACATACAGTACATGTTGAACATTTGTTGAGCTCAAAATATTTCCATACCCTACACTTGGTCCTAAATACACACAAATTAATCACCATGACATTATTGTAGGAACATTTCCAATGTACCTGACACTACTTTACAAGTATTAATGCAACTAATTCCATTGCAGGATTACTGTTTAAGACAGGCACTGTTATCACCATGTATGTTAGTTACACACAAAGAACCTGAGATTTAGAAGGTTATGTGAGGTTGGGCTGTAGCTTAGCAGTAGAGCACATGCTTAGCACGCACATGACTCCTGTTGTAGTCCAAATACAAAAAAAACCAAAATCCAAAAATAACAGGTTCGTGTAACTAGCCTGCATCCTTGATTTTCTCCACTACTATATGAGCTTTGTGAGAGCAGAGTTTTTCTCTGTGTATGATTTCACTTAGTTCTTAAACTAGAATAGGAGATCTGGAATAAAATACAGTCCAGGCTCTAAAATTTTTATTTTTAATATGTTTTATTTTAAAGACTTTGTAAGGGACCTTGTGAGAATTAAAACGATAACAATATGTCTATGATTCAGAGACAGAGTACACAAGGAGAGAGGGTATTGAACTGGGGCCCAGGAGAACAGGTACTAAGCTTCACTATTTCATTTCTTAAGGACCTTCAGCATTGAAGGGACCTCAGCTTCCTCATCTGTAAAAACAGAAGTAATAATTCCTACCTCAAGTGACAGTGTTTGTGAAAGCGCTCGACAATTTGCAAATTGCAGAGAACATTGTTAGGTTTCAAAAATCTTTTCTTGTATTAGAGATCGAGTTTCTATTTTCTCTCTTCATCTCCTTTCTCTGTCACTCGTTTTCCAGCTGCTCCTTTAGAAAACAGTTGGCAATGGAATAGTCAGGTTTAGTTTGTATGATTAGCAGTGTTCATTCAAGTTTACAATCTAAAAATGCAGAGAAATTGGTGCTTAGAAACAGCAAGCACATGTTCTTGCTTTCCATATTTCTATACTGAGTTCTAGTGCTTATTTGAGCCTCTGATTTCTTTCCTGCGCAGTCTAACCCCTGCTTCAATGGTGGTGTCTGCTATGCCCTGTGGGATGACTTTTCCTGCGCCTGCCCTGCGAACACGGCCGGCAAAGCCTGCGAGGAAGTGCGGTGGTGTGAACTCAGCCCGTGTCCTGCCAGCACCCGCTGCCAGCCGGTGCCCCGAGGGTTTGAATGTAGGTAAAGTTCGAAATCTTCACCCATCCAATTAAGTTGGTGCATTTCAGTTGTTCAAACAGAAACATTAAGAAAAGAATTGAGGCACAGTCTGCTTCTAGGAGAAATTTGTGTTGTTTCCCTACGAGTGAGTGGTTTGAGAAACCTGATAGAATAGGTTCTTGCTTCTTCCTGCCTCAAGTATTTGGATGGAAATTGACATCCCTGGTTATTTTATGGTGATGTGTGAAGAATAAACCACTTCCTTTTCCTCATGACTGAGAATAAGAGACTTTCTTTAAAAACCTAAAGCTTTCTCTTTTGTAAAACAGCATGAAAATATCTATGAAGTCTCTTCGTCATGATACTATACCGTTGCACATACAATCAAACATGTTAGGCACCAGGTTAAGGTTTGCAATGACTATTTCTTTCCACGTGAAAGGTTTTCTTGCTTCTTTGAGTACTAGAACACACAATTTCTCAAATGTTAGCAATTTGAATATAACATTCACCATTTTGACATATTTACATAAAACCATGCTATCATTTATATTGCTTTTTCTCCTACTTCAAAAATAATACAGTCAATTAAGATTTAATTCACTCATGATTCACTTCATTATAACACTTGGGTGATGTAATTTTTTTACTGCTATGCTAATCATTACTTTTCAAAATAAAGGATAAAGTTCTTTTTAGAGATTATTTATTGAACAGTGTTTACTAAGCATCTCCTATATGTCAGGCACTATTCTATGTTTAAGAACTAAGTGAAATCATACACAAAGAAGAACTCTGCTCTCCCAAAGCTCATACAGTAGTGGAGAAAATCAAGGAACAAGGAGCCAAGTAATATAATTTCAAATAGTCACAGGAGCTAAAAACTAACAGTAATGGGATAGACAGTGGATGAAGGAAGGAAGATATTTAAACTTAGGCAGTTAAAGAAAGCTTCTCAGTGGAGGTGATACTGAGCAGGTATCAACACCGAGGAAGGACCGGTTATGGTAAGGCATGGGGGTGGATATTCTAGATTTAAGTAAGGGTAAATTTAAAAGGTCCTCACTGGAAGCAAGCTTGTTATCTTCAATAAGTGGCAACAAGATATTTTGTGGCTGATACGTGAGTGAGAAAGCGTGGTAGGAATTAGAATGAGAGAGTTAATCAGAGGTCAGGTTGCATAAACTCTTTTGGGTGCTGCTGAATTCTTTTCTGGCCATGGTGATATGAAGGAAAGTCTTGAGCTAAGGAGAGGTTATTACATTCATCTGCATGGCCAGAGAAACAGAAATATTAAGAAGTAATTAGTCTATATGAAAGATGACAGTCACTGGCTGCAGTGCCTAAAAGTAAGGTAATAATAGTATTTTAAGGTTAGTTGTTACTGAGGACGGAGAAATGACAATAGTGAATCAACATCTGGTGGTGTAACCAGAGATCACCGTGACCTGAGAAATGGTTGCAGTGAAGTAATTGGGACAAAGTCCTGAGTGGCTTGTATTAAAAATAAAATAGGAAATTAGAAAGTGAAGAGTGAGAATATAAAACTATTACAAGTTTAGATGATAAAGAGAAAGCAAGAAGGGAGGGGACTGTCAGTAAGTGCTTTGGGATCTTGCATACATGACAATTATAAAATATTTCTACATTCATATGAAAAAACAGAAAGGGAAGGGAAATGTTGAACTCAAAAGAAAAAGGATGTACTAAGAATAATGCATACCCCGGGTGTGGTGACACATGCCTGTAATCCCCACACGGGGGAGGCTCAGGCAGGAGGATTGTTGCAAGTTTGAGACCAGCCTGGGCTACAAAGTGAGCTCAAGACCAGCCCGAACTGCATAGAAAAATCCTGTTTTGAATTCATTACAACAGGGTGGAGTCAGATGAGATTCTGATATTATCGTTAAGGTTACAGATTTCATTGAAATCTATGGCTGTTCTTACTTCTTTTATCTTCTCAAGATTATATACAGGAGAACATAGCCAAAGAGGGTTAGAAATAGACAAGGATGATATTTTAAAAGATAAAACAAGCTGTGAATTAATGATCTTGTAGAATGAGAAAAACACTTTTAATGGAGAAAAACAGTAAGATTGCCCAAAAGTGCTGTTCGCATACAAAATGTGGGCAAAAAATGAGAGCAATCGACATGGCTGTATATTTTTTCCAAATCACAGGAAGGTATTTGGCAATAGGTAGACAGATGGTAGTTTGGTATATAATTGGAACTCTACCAGGTAAGCAAATCCCTTACTTGGAATTACACTTCTAACTGCATGCTGGTCAGCTTACTCAGAATTCAGATTGCACTGTTCACTTGCTGTGTCTTCATAGCTGAATTCATTTCTTTGTAGTCTCTATTTATAAAATGAGTAATCAATTCCTTATTTATTGAAACAAATGGAAAATAACAATTATTATTCCCTAGGCTTCCAATGAAAAAGAAATATTGGTATCAGACTATCCACATTTAACTTTCAGCTTTATTTTTTATTTATGATATGAGCAATTACTTAGCTTGAGTCTCAATTTCTTTTTTCATAAAGGAGGATAATATTAATGCTTATGTTTGAGATTTCTGTACTAGAAATAACATAAAAGCAACTAGGACAGCATCTACTACAGCATGTATCAATCAATATATGATGTCATTAATGCAATGATCATTATTATCAATAAAAGTAATTATGTAAACATTATAGATTCCATAAATTTAATAATTTTGCTTTCTCTCTTTAGGTATTGGAAATGTTGTTTTGAGTGGACAAAGCAGTAACATATTGTTCCAAAGCAATGGAAATATTACCAGAGAGCTCACTAATATCACATTTGGTTTCAGAACAAGGGATGCGAATGTGATAATACTTCATGCTGAAAATGAGCCTGCATTTCTTAATATCAGCATTCAAGATTCTCGATTATCTTTTCAGTTGCAAAGTGGCAACAATTTTTATATTCTGCAACTGAGAAGTTTGCAGTCAGTGAATGATGGCACATGGCACCAAGTGACTCTTTCCATGACAGATCCACTGGCCCCGATCTCCAGGTGGCAGATGAAGCTGGACAACCAAACATCTTTTGTGACCAGTGCAATTGCTACTGGAAGCCTCAACTTTTTGAAAGATAATACAGACATCTATGTGGGTGACTCATTTATTGACAACATGAAGGGTTTTCAAGGATGTCTAAGTACAATAGAAATTGGAGGCATTTATCTTTCTTATTTTGAAAATGTTCATGGTGTCACAAATAAACCCCAGGAAGAGCAGTTTCTCAAAATCTCTACCAATTTGGTGCTTACTGGCTGTTTGCAGTTAAATGCCTGCCTCTCCAACCCCTGTTTGCATGGAGGAGACTGCGAAGACCTCTATAGCTCTTATCACTGTTCCTGTCCCTCGGGATGGTCAGGATCACATTGTGAACTCAACATTGATGAATGCTTTTCAAACCCCTGTATCCATGGCAACTGCTCTGACAGAGTTGCAGCCTACCAATGCAGGTGTGAGCCTGGATACACTGGTGTGAACTGTGAAGCAGAGATAGACAATTGCCAGAGTCACCAATGTGCAAATGGGGCCACCTGCATTAGTGACACTAACGGCTATTCCTGCCTTTGTTTTGGAAACTTTACAGGAAAATTTTGCAGGTGAGCATAAGAGTTCATACTAAGCTTGATTTTTGGAGCTGCATTCTACATTTTCTTTGTCAAATTGAAAATCCCTCTCTTCAAGGTATACATATGTATTGTCCTAAACCGAAATTGGCTCTGGTCACTTCCATCACACTTTAATGGTACAAAGCCAAGATTTATTTTGCTGAGATGTCTTACAAGTACAAAATACTTCAGTCAGACAATTAACACAGTGCTTTCTCAGTCATCTTTGTTAGAAAATGTCTCATGATTTAGGGCTCAGGGTCTAACAGACTAAGGCCTCAGGAAACTAAGGTATTTACACAAATGCAAAATCTGACATTTAGTATTGTTAGGGAAGGGAGTACTTTTATTACCAAAATAGTGCTCTAATTTATTTCAGTCAGGTAAATCTATAAAATCCTAAAGCTCCATTACAGTATAATTTCTAAAAGGCAAAATTATGACTTCCAGAAAAATATAAAGTGAAGGTGTTTTTATAATTTCACTAGCCATCAATTAATGAGGGAACAAGTAAGATACAAAAACTAGTACAAAGAAAACTATAAGATACACACACACACACACACACACACACACACACACACACACAATGAATGTATTAGTCCCTTCCTATTATTGGAACAAAATATTCAATACTTGCAATTTAAAGGAAGAGAAATTTATTTTGGTTCATAATTCCAATGGGTTAAGTCAAAAGTTGACTGGCTCCAAAGTAGAAAGAGCATGACACATGATACAAGGGACAGCTGCCTATTCCATGTCAGCAAGAAAGGAGAAAGAGAGAGAGAGAGAGAGAGAGAGAGAGAGAGAGAGAGAGAGAGACAGACAGACACACAGACACACAGACAGACACACAGACACACAGAGACAGAGACCGAGACACAGAGAGAGACAGACAGAGAGAAGGGAAGAGCCAAGAACAAGAATATGTTCTTCCAGGTCACATACCTAATAACTCACCTCTGCAGACCAGACCCTACCTCTAAATACATGAGATATTTGGGAGACATTTTTAGATATAACTGTTATAGTGAGTAAATGAATCTGCTAATAAATACAGAACTGCTTAATATCTTATAGGAAAAATAGTGTTTGATATAATTGTTTAACACTTTGATAAGCAAGAGTCATTTGTGTTAATAATGTTTTCTACAATTTACAGAGTTATAATATTGCTTAATAAAGAAAATCTAAGGATATGTTGCTGTAGAGTCAACTAATAATGGAAAATCCTTTTTGGCACATCTAGCACTCCATTGAAAGAAGACCTTATCATCTCTTTTGCCAATTTCAAAATATTTCATAATTTTTTTCTGAAATTACAAGATCAGTATTTTATTTTAAGCTGTAAAAAACAGACAAGAAATAGTGTTTTCCTTCTAAGTCATATTGCTTCAATATTTCTACATAAGTGGAAGTCATTGTTTTTACAAGTTATACTGCTTTAAATTTACTAAATAATTGAGACATTTTGGGGAGGTGAAAGAGAGAGCCATTATTAACAAGAAACACATTCTAGATCTTTGGCAAGTACACCTCAACTGGGTTGGCAGCCAATGGGTATTACACAAATTCAGAGATAGGATGTTAGTTACATGGACCTCTAACAGAAATAACATGTAACATATATACCCATAAAAATTGTATGTTTCTTCATCACATTCATGTTCAAAACCTGTGGTGGCAAGGCACAGTGATAAGTGCTAAGTGTTGACATTCTGATAATATGTTGCTTCTTGTGAGTTAACTAACTGATTAAAAACAAGAGAAATTCTGACTCTGGATAAGTGAATGTGTAGCTAGTTCAGCAAAGTCAAGTTCTCAAAGACTAGAATTCTCAAAGCACCTTCTGATAAGATACAGAAGTTATTTATTAAGCTTAAGACATATACAAGCTTTGCATTTGCATTGCTAATTGACCACTTGCAAAGCTGGTTGACACTTTTGACTCCTTTGCAATGTCCATATGGTATCTTCTTTTAAAAGCAGAATTGATTAGCTCTTGTGAGAAGACACAAGTTTACCATCATCTAGTCCAGTTTTTCCATGTTAGCTGCATCACACATAACAGGATAAAATGAAATTCACTTTAAATTCCTGGATACTTTTTTCTGTACTATAATTGACACCACGCACATACACTTTGAGTCAAAGTACTTAAACAACAAATTTAAAACCTTTGTAAACATCAGTCCCTAAAACCCACTGGATTTTTTTTTTCTAGAAAGAGGTTCTGCTTAGCTTATAAAAATCTGTTCTGCCTTTTATGAGGATGCTTTAACATGTTCAGCTTTGTTACTGTATGAGAGAGCCACATGCTGAATTCACAGGCATTTACCACAGTATTAGAGATAAACCTCCTGAAAAGCACTTGGCTCGCATTTCAGAAGTCTATGAATTATGACAGAGGGAGCAGAAAGTCTTGGCAGGGCAACTGAAGTTCAGCTCTGAAAGCCATCAGAGAAATCACATGAGTGCTTGGGTACCAAAGTGCTGTCCTTGCTTTCCTGGCCTTTATAGAGATGCAGTTTTCTTATGGCCTTTGTTGATTTATGAGGAAAGCAACAGCAAATCTAGCTATAACAAGTTCTTTTCCAACCCTAAATTTATTGCAACCCTATGGCATAGATCTTATCTCACGAATGAAAGCTGTAGAATGAAAGATGGATAGGCTTGCCTGCTACGGTGCCCTACAGAATGGGCTTTTTGGTGGAGAAAGTGTTACTTGGATAACATCATATATCCTCCAGCCTGAGTATTTAATTAGCTTGGCATTGACTCCATACATGAACTTTTCAAAAGTTTTGTTGAATGAAATGAACAAGATGAACAGCTGTGGATACTACTTTTATCTCTCTAGACACAGCAGATTACCTTCAACAGTCTGTGGGAATGGGATCACAAATCTTACTTGTTACAACGGAGGCAACTGCACAGAGTTCCACGCTGAATTAAAATGCATGTGCCGGGCGGGTTTTACTGGAGAACGGTGAGTCACATTAGAACTTTATGGAAGGGATGCTAGACGAAAGAACAGTGGGATCACTCACAGAGCATTTTCTCCTTTAATTTTTCATCTCAGTTCCCATAGGAAATTCTGTGTTGAAATATAGTTCCAGGCAGAATCAAGCAATAAAAAAGAAGATTAATTACAGTGTAGGTCAAAGAAGAGAACATTTTATTAGCCAAGATCTTGAATAGGGAAATAATATGTTTTAAAATGTATAACATGCTATTTTTTTCTAATAGTTACTTCTGGATTCGTGATCCACCCCCCCCCACCCCACTCTAACCATGATGGAACTATGGTTGCCACTGAAGTAAAAGAAATCTAAAAGATTGTTTTGCAGAACTAGCTACAACTCCCAAAGCATAACATTTCACCCAGAAGATGCTGCTTTTTCCAGAGAAACCCTTCAAATCTTCTTCAGCTAATAAAGGGACAGTCCCTGGCTTCACACAGTCTGTAACCTGCTGAGAGTGTAGATGAAAAATGTAGGATATGTATTGGATGGGCTGGAGATGAGCTCAAGAGAGGAAGAGTATGTTCTCTATAAACCCTAGAAGATTTCCACAGGAACCTGTTTCCAAAAGGGTTTCAAACCTGGGTTTTGTAGGACACAGATACTGTAGAGACAGATACACACTAGCCATTCATTTATAATTATGCCATGTACCTTATAATATTGTTCTTAATTCTTAGAACTCTGCAAGGAAGGTTTTATTGTTTTTATTTTACAAACTAAGGTTAAAGCAGTTAAGTGACAGATTATGTGCCAACCCAATTGTATGCTATAGTAAGGCTGAGCTGTCTTCAAAGCCTCTGCTTATCTTTCAAAAATGCTTGATAACTGTATGAATAAATCTTTGCTCATCAGTTGTTAAGAAAATAAAACAATGTGCTCGTCTATCGCATATATCACCAAGAATAACATAACTGATTTCCAATCAAATATATACATTGAAAACATTTCAGCATGTCAGACACAACTGATAAATATTTTGACTGAATTAATTTCCCCTTAAGAGTAGTCAATAAAATAATGGATACATGTGGACTCCAATTATGCTTTGGACTAATTTGAATTTTCTGTTTTCAGCTGGGTCTTTTAGCATCACATAGATATAGCTGATTTGCCATTTTTACAAAACAGGAGGAAATCCAGGCTATTCTTGCATAAGATCCTTGTAAAATGCATGAGCTCAGAAAGTGAGTTAAGCCATGTAGCAGTTTCCATTATATCTGTCTATTCCATGCAATTACTAACTCAAAAATCATTCAGTTGACCCCCAGTTGCATACTTTCAAAATACTGGTATTGTAAATATTTCTTTGTCTTCAGTATCTATCTTTCAAGTGCTTGACTTGCTTCATATCACAGAGCACAAAACATAGAGCTTATCCAAAGCTTTGGATTATTTTTCAATGCTACTCATTTATAGCATTGTTTCTATTTACAAAAAACATTACATTTTTCCTTTGATATGTAGTCTTTTTTAAAAATTCACATTTGGTAGTTAAATTATTGATTTGAAGTATTGTAAACAGAAAAAGCTCATAATTTTATTTTCTCTCCTAGGAAACTTTTCATTTGGATAAACTTCTCTGATGCAAAGTGAATCTAAACTATTTTTTTTTAGAGTCCTTAACTTTCCTTAATTTGTTCATTGGATGCTAATAGATTTATTTGGCCCATCTACTAATTATCTTCTAATAAAAGCTCCACAGATGCTTATAAGCCATCCATATGTGTCACTTGCTGTTTAGTACAAAATAGAAAAAGCTAAGAAAGGGAGAAAAGAATAGCTGGAGAAAGGCTAGAAAATTGGAGACAATTTTCCAAGGACTAGGGAAACGAGCCTTCCACAACATCCAAGGGTATTGAAAAGCTATCCTCTAGCGAATTGGCTGCTCCCGGCCTGGTTAAACCTTCAGCTTCACAGTGTCATCCCGGCAGGTCGTGAATGATGGATGATGTGCACACTCTGGCCCACCCAGGACACAGAATGCTTGGCAAGCTCCTGTGAGTTGTCAAGCTTTGCTCAGATCTAATCAAAGAAGTCTCTTTCCAGCCCAGAAGCTTAAGCCAAAAAAGGAAAATAAAATGCCTCTGCTATGCTTGGTATCTAACAGGATAAGGAGCTGTTTTTCCCAGGTGAAATCTTCCTTTTCTTTCATATTTGGGGTTGCCACAGCCACATGACCTCATCCTCTCATTCTGAGCTTGCTGATTAGTCTCTGACCCAAACAAGGTAGCTTTTTGCTTTTTGCTAGGTGGGAAATGAAAAAGTGTAGCTTCTACATTACAAGATGGTTGAAGAGATCCTTGATGGCAACACTTTACATGAATTTCCTAAAATAGCATGTGCTAGTAATTGTTCCATTCCACGGTTTTAGAAGAGTGTTCAAGCATGTGGTAAATAACTACAGAATGATGGAATATGAGTGCTGGTGAACTGATCAGTGCCTACATAGAAAAGCAAGTTGTTGGTTACAGATAAAGATAATTTACTATTTTAAACAGATAAATGAAATGAATTTAAAGGATTGCACCAGAAAAAAATGGTGAGGAGAGAGATATGCTTAACCTGATTTATACATCACACAATATATACATGTGTCAAAACAGTGTGTGATAGCCCACGATTATACACAAATTTGTTCTATATATCAGAAAAAAACCAAAACAAGTCATTGGTGGAAAATTAGATAAAAATGGACAATGTCTAAGGGAAGAAGGAAACTTCAATTTACCTTAGAATTGATGTTGCTTCTTTGGAAAGATTGGCTTTGAAAGTCATTTTATTGAAACAAAAATTATGCTTAGTTTTTTTTTTTGAACATTGATTTTTTTTTGCACATGTAATCTTCTATAGCCTACTTTGTTAATGATAAAATGGAATTTCAAAGAAAAGTAACTCATAATCTCTCAGAAATAACCCTTTTTTGTCCAGTTGTGTGTGTGCCTGAAACTGTGTTTGGTGGCTTGCCAGAGACACGGAGGCCTTAGATTCTAACAGCCTGTGCTCAGTGGATTCTTGGTTCACCTGTTCTGTGCAATAAACAGTTACAAGGTCGTAAATTCACTAGTGTTCTTAAGGCAGAAAGTGATTGTAGTATGGCCTGTTTCTCATGGTTTGTAAATACCTGCACCTGCTCTGTCATTTTACTTAATTCACTCTGTGTGTGTGTGTGTGTGTGTGTGTGTGTGTGTGTGTGTGTGTGACGTGCGCACGCGCAAGTGTACACAATTATTTCTATTAAACCCAAAACCTTTGAAGAAGCTTTTAAGGAACATCTCCTTCACTATCAAAGGTAAAAATCGGGGGTTGGTAGCCAGGACTGTGCTGGTGTAAGTGGATAAGGCAAATGTTTCACAGCCCTTGTACCAACAGGGTTCCGCGTGTCCGTGTTTATCTTCCAGGTGTGAGCAGGACATAGACGAGTGTGCCTCGGCTCCCTGCCTCAACGGAGGCCTGTGCCAGGACCTACTGGGCAGGTTCCAGTGCCTCTGCGACGTGGCCTTCGCCGGCGACCGCTGCGAGCTGGACGTAAGCGGCATCTCCTTTTATGTCTCTCTCCTGCTGTGGCAGAGCCTCTTCCAGCTGCTCTCCTACCTCATTCTGCGCATGAACGACGAGCCGGTTGTGGAGTGGGGTGAGCAGGAGGATGGCTAGCGTGCCTGTGAGCATCTCCAGCAGCAAAAGCCACTGAATCCCGAGAAAGGGCTTGCCTCGTTTTTTAGATCTCTAAAACAGAAAAACAAGGAGGAGGGAAAAGGTAGAATAAAACCATCTTGAAAACCAAACTAATTCAAGGCTTCTTTCAAGCATTTCACAATTACTTTGTGTCTATATAAAATATTTCCCAATTCTAGCTTTAAAATGGGGGAGGAGAGTTCTTGATACAACCACAAATATCTGGTTATTGAGTTTACTTAGCACAACTCTATGATCCCCCTTAATACTTCCATATTTGAGTGGTTACTGCTGCAATTAACAGACCACTTTCTCTTCACACTCTATTTTTGAACCAGTGTACTTTCCTGTGGCAAGTTGCCCTCATTCACTGGTTCTGTTTTATTAATGCTCTTCATTATCCTCTATTACCTATGACATGAACATTTGAAAATTACTATAGATGTATATATGTGTGTGTTTATTCAGAGGAACTGGTGCCAGTGAGATAGATTATGTGACATATATATGAAGAAAGGGAGGGAGGGAGGGAGGGAGGGAGGAAGGGAGAGAGAGAGAGAGAGAGAGAGAGAGAGAGAGAGAGAGAGAGAGAGAGAGTAATAGCCCTAAAAGTGTAGGAAGAGAATGATCTGGTATTATACTCAAATTATACTTCATGTGAATAATTTCTTATTTCATAGGACTTTCAAAAAGACATTTGCTCTATTTCTTTATCTTCCAATATTTCTCCTTTCCACAGGTACAATGATGTTTGTCAATTTCTGATAAATTGATAAGACTACTGACTTTTCTATTCATTTTACTGGCATATTGTCTTGTATAAATATCTTTGTGTGGTTGTATTTTCCCAAAGGAGATATTCTTTGAGAGGGAAAATATTTTGATACTATGAATTAATTCATAACACTAAATTAACAATGGCCTGCTAGATGTCATTTTGTAAATGTGTTATGTCTTATGTCTAGGTCTTTAACCTATATAAGGGTAATTTATCCATTGGATAATATCCAGTGCACATTTAGTTCTAATTGTTTTAAGAAAATTATTTCTCCATGTAAATGACCAAGGTAAACCTACATATAATTCTCAAGACAAAAAGAACAAAATAGTTTGTTATAAAAGCAAAGAAAGAGGCTGGGGATTTAGCTCAGCAGCATAAGCACCTGCCTTGCAAGCAGGCGGTCGTGAGTTCGATCCCTGGTACCGATAAAAATGAAAAAGACAAAAAAAAAAAAAAAAAAAAGCAAAGAAAATGAATTCCATTTTATTTTGCAATAGTAATAGAAGAGTTTAAGTAGGCAATTCATTTTCTGCGTAGACATTTCAAACATTTCAGCGATTTCAAACTGGAAGTGATTAAGTTTAATTTTTTCCTTTATATTCATTTATTTTCTTCACATTCAAGGCAGTGTGTAGCACACCATGGTATTAGATTATCTCTTTGAAGTCAGATTTTGTGACAAGAGACTTGGAGGAACCTCTCCCACCAGCATTTACAAGTGTTTACAATAAGCATTAAGCAGGTTAGCCCCAAACTACGCTTTTATTTGTCACCTTTACTCCCTTTTAGATTTATGCATAATTGTGTGTCTATGGACTATTTCAAAGGTTATATGTACTCTACCAAATATATTTAAGAGATATTCACTCACAATTTCTTTCTCTGTAAAATTCTGATGTCTCTATTGTCACTGTAATTGTCAGTTGCTTCCTGATTTTCCAAATAGTCTGTCATGAAATATCTAATTTTTTAAAATACTATCCTTTTTTTTTATCCTTCTGTATTTTCAGGTGTGTTTTGTGTGACTATGGCTTTTGCACATTTGCATCGGAAAATAAAACATTTTTCTGCATCTTCTTTTCTCATCTGCTGATGCTTTCTTTGTTTCCCTTGACTGTGCCTTATGAGACTCACAATCCAGACACACACACACACACACACACACAACACTTACTTAAGAAACACAGATGATAGTACTGATCTCTTGAATTGTAACCTCTCTCCACATGCATTGTTGTAAGTAATGCTGTGATATCAACTTCAACATCCTGTGTACTTTTGCTCTCTGGCAAGTGATAGTCTAGTTGGCATTCTAGAAATGACAGTAATCCTAATTGTTCTTACTACTGGTTTACACTGCCCCTGAAAAAGCTAGTTATTTTTTAGTTCCATCTAGCTCTAAAGATATGTCAGATTATTTAAGTGACAAATACAAAGCTCCTATTCTGGGCTGAACTTTTAAAACATAGCCTGAATTTACTTGACTAAGAATCAACTTTATTCTACTCATTTTTTCATATGAACGAAAAGGGATGCATTCTTGTCTCATCCATGCATGGGGAGTTCATTATCATCCCTTTTGATGAAAAGAGAAGTAGGAAGCCTAGGCAAAAGTGGATGAAGTGGTTTTTTGGCAACAAGGAGAAATAACAAAATTCAATTATTATTTGAAAACTTATTCTGTATCTAGACTGTGACAAAACATTTTTAAAATCATGATTTTTTCAGGTTTTTTTTCAAGACAAAGTTGATCAAAATTTCTTGCCTTCTAAATTCCTTGCTAAATTTATTTGAAAGCCTTTTTTTCCCATTTCTGGATTTTAAAATGTAAGTTACTCAGTCTTTACTTTTCAAAATTAGAATGAAGCTTTTCTCTAGAAATGATATCATGGGAAATTTGAGTTAGTAATGTTAAATAGGAAACCAGTAAAGATATCTGTTTCTTGACTGCCAATATTATTACTACTACAGACTATTTTACTTCTGTGATCCTTTTTTGATTTATTCAACAAATGCTTAGTGACCACCTACTATCTGCTACACCCCATTGTAGGCACTGGCGATACAACAGTGAATTAGACACGGTCCTTGCTTATAACAAGCTGAAGGTCTCAAAGAAAATACAGGGAAGCAGAAGGGCAGGTGCTAGGTCAGGGTTAGGATGGAACTGAGGACTAGCTGTGAGAGCTGGACATAAGAAGGGCATTTTGTCCACTTGTAAAAGTGGACATGGAAGATCAAGGATGTTTGCAAAAACTGAAGCTTAGATTGGAAGGTAAGCAGGAGCTGGCCTGTAGAAGGAGGCGTGGAATAGCCAGAATGTCCCCAGTGAAAGGGGTGCCCAGGCCGGGCCATGTGTCTGGAGCAGGGAGAGGGAGCCTGGTAAGGCTGAGGCTATAGCACTACACATCCCTTTTAGCCATGGCAGAGACTTTGGTTTTTCATCCTAGTAGCAACAGGAAGTCTTTGAAAGTCACACTTGTACTTTCAAAGATCACTTCAGCTTCTAAGTAAAGAATGAATGAAAAAGATAGGCAAGATTGGATCCAGAAAACCATAGTTAAGAGCCATTGCAGAGACACAGACAAAATGAAAGATTTAATGCTACTTTATGTCATTGAGGTAATGTGGAAAAGCGACTAGATTAACAAAATTTAAGCAGTAATACCTTGTGATATGGAGAAAGTGGAGGTCCAAGGGGTGATATGTTATATTTGGTGAATATTATTTTTTAAATGTTCATTCACTGAATAAATGAATGAGGACAAAGTTTTGTAGGCTATGCATGTTATTCATTAATCAATGTGAATATTCCAGTTTGGAATTCAAGAAATAAACTGAACTTGGCACATAAATTTGAGATTCATATTATAGATACATTGCATTTTGTATTCCATATCTCAATGGGTTCATATATAAAAAATCCATCTGAATTATTTAGCAATTGCTCTATAATAAACTACCTCAAATTTCAAACAACATTCCTGTATTACTACACTATTTCTAATGACACAGGAGTCTGGGCTTGGCTTAATTGGGTCCTATGCTCAAGGTTTTACAAGGTGACATCAGCTAAAGAGGGATTTCAGTTTTTGTGACTGTTGACCAGTGGCAACTCTTCCATCCTAGGTGTAGCCCACATGTGGTTCCAGGCCACTGGGGCTCACCAGCATGGCTGCTAATGTCCCAGAAGCCAAAATAAGAGAAATTCTAGCAAGAAAGATGTTACAGTGTTGTGTAACGGAATCACATCACCATGCCCATATAGTCACGGGCATCTCCGTACATGTGTGGTACTCTATCAGTTAGAAACATCGCAGTATGTCCACACACAAAGGGAGAGGATCAGAGAAGGTTGAACACCAGAGGTGGGGACCCTGAGGTCCAAGTTAGGAGTCTCCATATTCTTTTTTTTTTTTTTTTTTTTTGGTCTTTTTCCTTTTTATCGATACTGAGGATCGAACTCACGACTGCCTGCTTGCAAGGCAGGCGCTTATGCCACTGAGCTAAATCCCCAGCGAGTCTCCATATTCTTTTTCACTTCAAGTGTGATGGCCCATCTGTGTATGATCCACTGATGAATTTTAAAATTTCCATTACCTTTTAAATTGCCAGACATTTTATTATCTTACAAGGCAACCTTCCTTTTGTCCATGTTCAATTTTTTCATTATAATTGCAGTTCCTTATTTTCTTTTAAATACTCATCCTACTTAATATTCATTTTAAGATTGTTCTAATAACTCAAACCCTTGAAGTACTCATTCTCCTATTTTTGTTTCTGCAGAATTTCCCTATCAGAGTTTTTCCTCTTGAGATTTGTAACTTTTATGGATGAACACAACCTTAGAGGATTTTTTTTTTTCCTGTGGGAGTCCTTGTGCACTCGCTGAGTTGTGGAAGTGTTTCTGTCTATAATCCTGGCTTTGGTCTTTGGTTGGGCATCGAGGAGCTTGATCAGACTAGAGCATATTTTTGTATGCTCTGTTTAAGGATTCGCACAACATCTGGGTAGTTTAAGATGGGTTCCACACTCAATTTCACTGAAAGTCCTTTATAAACACAACCCAGAG